CGGAGGGGAGAGCCGCCGCTCGTCCGCGGACTATTTTCCGCGGCGCGCAAAAACGCGGCGCGCGCACGCGCACGCGCGCAGTGATACCCGGCGGAGAAATGGCGGGAAACCGGCGGCCGGCGCCGCGACGGCGATCTTGACGACGTGCGTGCGAGCGAACGGGCGTCGCGACGTCGACGGACGGCGCGCGCGGGGGACACGTGGCGCATCGCGCTGCGAATCGCGGCGCGGCTTTTACGAGATTCCACGAAAACAGAAATTGGCGGGCGCCGAGATGAGTCGGAGTCGAGCGTGCCGGCCAAGATGGCGGACCAATTAAGAGTGTTGTCGCGCGCCGATGCGTTTTATTCTTTGCGCGCCGCATGGCCGTCGTTGCATCGATGTAATATACGATTTTCGCGGACGGCGAAGGCGACGGCGGCGTCGCGACGCCGCGAATACGCGCGCGCTCTGCACCGTGGCGGGGAGCGCGGAGGGGGGAGGAGCGCTTTGCGCGCGGGCGCGCGGCAGGCCGCGCCGCGACGCGAGGCGCCGGCGGAATCCATAAATAAAACAATTGGTTATATACATATGTTTTTCAAATCGACGAATGCTATTATATATTTTGTATTGAGCACTCGCGGCACACTCCGGAGGGGGCGGAGGGAGGGGGGAGGAGGGAGACGGCGGTGGGCGACGGAACGAGGGACGGACGCACGCCGACGCCCGACGACTAGCCGCGGACGCGCGGGCGAGAGCGCGCGTCTGTTTTTATAAAGAGCACACGGGCACGACGACTCCGCGTCGCGTCGCGCCGTGCCCGCGCGGCTTATAATCTCGCCCAATCCGCGGCTCCACTCATAAAGTATACGGCGGAACAAAAAAAGAGGGAAAATCGTTATAGAATAATCAAGCCGTCGCCGCCGCGCGCGTTCGCCCGCTTTCGGCCGCCGCCGTCGGGAGACACACGCGGCTTCTTCTCGGTCGCGCATCGCCGTCGTCGTCGTCGTCGCCGCCGTCGTCGTCGCCGTCGCTGTCGCCGCCGTTCCTCGCGACCGAGGATGCCTCGTCGTTGCCCGAGTACATGAAGACGACGTCGCGTCGCGGGCCGACTCGGCGACACGACGTTTCGTCCTAGCCGCCTCTCGCTCGCCGTCCGTATTTTTTCGGGAGAGGAGGAAAGAAAAAAAAAGAGAAAAAGATCTCGTCTCCGACGTGAAGCCCGCGTGCGGTGCCCCGCCGAAGGATCGGCTGAAACGAAGTCTTCCAGCGGTAGAACGAGAAGAAAAATCGTCTCCCCTCTCTTCCCCCGACACGCCGTTCTCTCCTTTTTTTCTTTTTCGTTATTCCTCCCCCTCGCCGCTCTCATATTCTCTCTCTCTCTTTCTCTTCCTTCGCCGTTTTCCTTCTGCCGCTTTTCTTTTTTTGAAAAATGGGCACGGCGGCACGCGATCTCAAGCAGCAGCAGCAGCGCGATCGGCAAGCAGACCGGTATCCCGCGGCGCAGTGCCGGATCTGTGCGACCGACATCGCCACCGACGACGACGGGATGCACATTTTCGCTGAGGACGGCCGGCGTCATTACCTGCAGACCAAAATACGGAAATATCTGCATATCCTGGTGAGTGAAAAAATTCGCGAGCGGCAATTTTTACGCGGCGGGCGCCTTTTTTTTCCCGCCCTCTCATCCTCTTTTTTTTCCCTCGTTTCTCGCTCTCCCTCGTTTTTTTTTCTTTCAAAATTCTCCCCCTCCACCTGCCACGATCACGTGCCGGTCGAATTTCCGGCCGCCGTTTGGAATTTCGAAAACGCACGTCGTCCGCCGCTCGCCGATCGCTCACCGATTTCGCGAGATCGGCCGACGATTTTCTCTTACGTGCCGATCTTTTCCGTCAGAGACGATCGCGTCGACAAATTTCTGAAGATCGGACGTGCGATCGCGGCTGACGTTCGCGAGAAATCGGCGCCAAAGTTGACTCGGAGTCGCGATCGTGCCTAAATCTTCTAGCCCTCCCTTCTCTCGCGGTCGAATAACGACGATTAAATCGACTCGGTTGTCTAAATATAACGGCGACATTTTCGTGGATGCTCGAGGAGCGTATACACGGGGTGTTACACGCCTCGCCGAGAAAACCCGCCGGCCGAAAAATTCATCGCGTCGGTCCCCCCTTAATGAGCCGCGAAATGTCATCGAGCTCCCCACGTCAGGGACGTGAACGGCAGCGTGACAATTTGAGGGGGCTCCGATCTCCGATCAGACGTTGTAACGCGCGCGGGGGGGAACACGTCGGCCGAGCGCGACCATTTTGTGCGGGGCTGCAAAAGTGTTAAAAATTAGCATTTTATTGATTGCAATAAGTATACCGTGCGCCGCGTGTATGTGTGTATCTCCCGCTATATATAAGCCCGACTACATCTATAAATACAATCGGAAATGAGGGCCGCGTCCGCGGTGGAGCGGACGGCAACGGGGAGATGACGTCGCGCGGAATAAAATTGCGATCTCGACCGACCGAGACGTGATCGCGCGAGAGAAGATGAGAAGAAAAGAATAGAAACGGGGCGAATTTCTTTCTGAATGAACCAAAACGTCCTTTCCTTCCACCGTCGTTATCGGTGTTCGCAAAAGCTAGGTTAATTGTCGATCGAGAATGAAATCAGGGGAAGAGTTACGGCACGCTGAATGGGAGATAATAATAACGCTAAATAAGGGATAATAATAAAAATAATGACGAAACAGTAAGATGATGCTTAATTATGCAATTGACATAAATTATGTGATTTCGGTATCTGAGAGACGGTCACGATTGGATTGACATCCTTCCTATATGGAACAAGTTAAATTTGCAGAATAGGTATAGACATGTATAAAAAGGATATAAATAATGAATATATATATATATATATATAAAAAGGATATATGTAACATATTTTACAGTAACTGTTGCCCATTATACAATTTCCATCTTGAGAGAACTGTGCAATATGTTGTGGAAGTATAATATACTTATTTTTAAATGTTTCACAGGTGTCATCGGAGGATAAATTTTCAAAGATGGTCTGTTCAACGTGCATCAAGAGATTGGAGGGTGTCCATCGCTTTGCGATGATGGCGTACCGTACCCAAGAGAAGTTGAGATCGCAGCTTTATGGTAACATTGACAATACGAATCCTGTACAAGACGACGAGATGCAGAATATTAAAGATATGCAAGATACTGCAAAGAAAACGGAGGACCGAGGACTGTTACATTCAATATTGACAAAGGTATGCGTTATAAATAATCTTTTTAAGATAATATTTCTAGGTATATTACATTTTTATCTGTAGAGTGTAATGTAACATCATTGTCGCTCGTAGGGTGCGATAGAAATTTTAACCGAAGACGAGCCACTGGGACCACCGGAATCAAATTCCCAAGAGGACAAACGTTGCACCCCGAGCATGGAAGAAATGGAGGTAAAAGTGGATCCGATGCTATTTTTACAATGCGGCATGGAACAGTCTACATCTGAAGCTTCAGATTCCTCAGATAACGAGGAAGAAATAACAAGGACACATACGCCGGAGCCATTACCTTTAACAAATAAGTAGGAATTTTTATACTGTTAATAAAGATCGTAACGATAGCCGAGTGTGCTCGCTTAAAGCTTTCGTTTGTTTAGAAATACTGAAGTGGAAGAGGAAGACGAAGAAAAGAGAGATGAAGGTGAATCTAAATCGCACGAGGACAGTAGGAAAACCGCATCCAATGCACCAGCGAAGCCACATGAATGTACAATATGTGCCCGATCTTTTATATCACAAATTGGCTTGCAAAATCACTTGTGGTCGCATTTACCCAGAGAAAGAAGATTCGACGGAAAGCCTATTTTACAATCTCAACACGTTTACTCTACGAATGGTGTACTTCACACGAATAGTGATAACAATTCGTCCAGCAACTTCATCTGTCCAATCTGCAGTAAAAAGATTTCTACAAAGGGAAATTTGAAAGTGCATTTAGAGACTCACAGGCCTAAAGGAAAGTACGGCTGCGACATATGTGGAAGAATGTACGTTTGCATTGCAATAATTCTCGTAATAATTTAATATTTATTTATTTCACTCGATTAAGATATAGCAAAGAATTATTATCAACCTCTTGTAATTTTTTTTAAATTTATTTGTTCCTATATTGAAATAATATTAATATCTCAATGTTAAATTTTTTACTAATAATGTATTAATTATAATGTATTGATTACTATTATCCTCGAAGAATTTTCAAGTACCATTAAAGAAAAATTTGATTCCTTGCAGTTTCAAAACTCAGTCGAATCTGTTCAGACACAAGGAGTATCACGGCGGCGTACAGTTTCCATGTAATGTATGCGGGAGAGTGTATCCAACGAATTCGACGTTACGCGCCCACAGCATAACGCATTCGGACTTGAGACCGCACGCATGCCCGCTTTGTGATAAGACGTTCAAGCGAAATCAGGATTTAAAATTCCACATAAATCAGCACACGGGTGCGAGGCCTTATCAGTGTCCTTACTGTCCGAAAGCTTTCGCGAGCTCCGGCAACTGTTTTTCACATCGTAAAAGAATGCATCCCCGGGAAGTTCATCGGGATCGACAGAGAGCGGCGGATTTAATGAGATGAACCATGGGCAGTCAATACGAGGACTGGTCTTAGAATTTCGGATGAATGTTCTGCCGAGGTGATCGTATATTGATCATGTATTAGTAACTGTCGTAATGTAAACTTTATTTCCAGAGATTAACGGTGCTAACGAGAACGGAAATTTTGTATGTTTCATTGTTCTTAAATTATTTATACACATTTAGCGTTAAGTACGTTGTTGTTGGTATTGTATATTTTGTTAGTTATTTATTGAATACGTATGTCTTTCTACTGTCTGATATAGGGATTATTGGTGAACTTCCATTATTGTTAGTAAGTTTAGCGTTGAAGCTTTACTACAATAATATAGCAAAGAAAGTAAGTTTGAAAATTTCATAGCCAGATTTGAATATTGATACTTTTAGTTTTATTTTCTATGCATATTAATGCAATTTATACGTATTATTTTAGTGATAGGAAAATAATAATTGTTAAATGTTTCTAGGAATATATTGTAATTATACTATCGTTTAAACCGGTTAACACGTTCTGATTTCTGACATCTGATTTTGTTATGTATTAGTACATCTTGTTCTTGTGTTAAAAATGTCCACACTGCCATTTTTGCGTATATTCCTTCTTTTTTTTACACTATTAAAACATTAGATAGTAGTAATTATAATTTGTGTATGATTGTGTACTTCCATAAGAAAGTTTATATGTAGCAAGATGTATTGTAAAACTAGTTCTATACTCTATATGACATTATCTTGACAACTCTGTGATAATTGTATTGGCACTGGTCATTTTATACTGGTTATGAAATTTACAACTTACCATATAATAGAAATATTATTCTACGAACGTAGATTATACACGATTGTAGCATTATTCAAACAGTGACGAAGATTCTAAAGAAAAAAAGCACATTATTTTACTCACAGCGATCAAGCAGATAATCCGCAGGGAACTTTATACGTCACATATGTATCGACCAAAAAGCGAAAAGAGAAAAATTTGCGAAAAAGAGAGAAAAAAGAGTTTCGTAGCCTGTGACATATTTTTAGCACAATACAAACATCATCATAAATGTTAAGACTGTATACGGAAATTATGTGTCAAATTAGATAATAACTTTAAGGGCGGACAAGACCGGATGTTATATGAAAACAAGTCTAGTCGTCTAGCAGTATTAATTATCAATAAGTAAGTGTAGGCGCCGTAGTCGATATTACAAATACGATCATGACGTTATTCTTATAAGCGAGATATATGAGGTAAATGTTAAACAGAAGTCTGAGTAGTTCTAGGAAGGCATAGTTAAGTTAGTTAATTAGTTAGACGATTCGTGTAACGTAGATAATAGTCCGTGCTTCCGTATACATTCGCACACGCGCTAAAACGCCACAGAATGCGTAAATAGAGAACGTTACAGGCCCTGAGAAAGAAGCTAGTACACATACAACAGTCAGTACACAAACAATAAGTAGCTCGTACTACCTATCGCAAAGACAAAAAAGAAAACCACCATGTGTAATCACATTATATTAATACAGCATTATTAGCTCATAGAGATATAAGCGTGTATTTTGTGATTACGTTTTTTCCGGACGCTTGCCGACATATATTATATATACAGACACTTTAGACATAGGTAACAATAAATATAGTGATATTATATATATATATATATACAAAAATAATCAATTTTTGACAGAAAAAGAGCATCCGAGGTGAACCGGTGCTCGCGGCTCAATCGTCGTCATTCTTGCATTTTAGACCTTAGAGAATCAAAAATTGAGTATTTTTCTAAAATCGACACGCCAAAGACACACAGTCCTAGTAATCGAGACTAGTAATTAACAATAATTCAGAAGTGCCAGTTGTAATGCAGAAAATTAACATAGCGTACTACTTAGCAGCAGACAAATACCACGGAGGATCATTCTGTAGAGTTAATGCAAAATACACACCATCTGTGACGTATATATATAAATAAATTCATTGTATAAAATTAGTCGGACTTGCATCTCCCGCGTTCACGGCATTCGCATAAAAAGAGACGCATGTCGTTGAACTGCGTGCGTGCATTATCGATGACCATGTAATTACGAATAAAAACAACGCAACTTCAAACGACCGTGTCATTGATCCGGAATGGAGTGGAAGGACATTTTATCGGCGCCCATAAATGAGCGGCATACATAAAATGCGGTTTTTACGATCATGGACCGGTCTCAAAGAAAGTTTACGAAGACTTTGCTCCTGAGCTGCACGGCATTCACCGTTTTAGGATTACCTCGAGCGGATGAACGTCAAATTTTTACCCAAGTAAAAACTAATTTCTTTAAGACAATAACTTTCTTCTTTATTCAAAAGCATATCGTACACGCTCTGTTTACTGCCATTTATATTTATTCATCCGTAATCTTATTCCGATAAATCGATTCTATAAGTTTTGAAGTAGAGTTACTAGAAACCCAAATAGGACACACAGAGTCAAAAGGGAGAACATTTTATTTTTATAAATCTTTTATTTTGTTTCTTAATTTCCTTTCAAACTTAATTATAATAACTTTCGTAGATATTACATGATAATTGTAGGTCTATTTTCGGTCTGGAAGGATTGACATCAAGCGATACCGCGGATGATGAATATCTCCGAATATCGTAAACGGTAACCAGAAGATTGCAAAATAGCACATAGAATAAACGCAGTATAACGCAATAAGTAAATTTCCGTATATTTCACCCAGCTAAAAGGAAGGTGAAGAAAACCTTGAAATATGTATTAATTTATGTCTGTGCGCGCGATAACGAGCAAAATACATCTACATTATCTACAAAAACAGTCCGCTTTTTCTATAATTTAGATGTATTTAATGCCCATAGCCTTCGTATTATCTGAGCATTGCGTAACACGTTATTTGCGTCTAGTTGCGTCTAATGCGCGTATAACTTAGCAGCATATCACTCTTCTCTTAATGTTTTGATGTTTCAAAGATTAATCTTATCTAATCGATATTTTTTGTTCGCTGTGTTTACGATTCTTTAAATGACGCACGGTTTTTTTTTACACTTCTCTAGAATTTGTGCGCACGGAATGCACAGTGCAATTCTCTGCGACGGCAAAAAGCAATATTCCTTGACAAAATTACGTTCGAGCGATATGGTCTTTAAATGAGAGCAATTTAAGGCTTAAAACATTACTTTTTCCGGTATAGAAAATATAGCATTGTGCATTATTCCGTGTGCACAATTTCTGGAAGATATTCTGTATAATATATAAGCAACGCGTATAATATATATACAACGTGAATTCCAACAAATATACTGACATAATTAAGTAATGATAGCGTTAAGAACTTGAAAAACAATTATTAACTTTTA